TCCGCAATAACCCCCAGGCTTACATTTATAACCCAAACAAGCCGAGTTTCACCTCTTTTGCTGTCCTGGGAATGACCCGCTTTCATTGCTTTTTCCTAGGTAGCAAATCTTCTGGTAAGGTTTTCCTAGTCCTAAAACTAATGCTGTAAATAAGAAGCTAGTTTTAAAATCTCTAAATTGTAAAGAAATTATTTCAGCTTTCTAGATTTCACAGCACCTTGCAAAACAACAAAGCGGGTTACTAAATTTATAAAAAAGCAAGCAGGAGAAGGAAGTTTCCCCAGATGATACACATTTCACTTCTGAGGAATTAAAACGAGGATCATTAAAACCGTTACTGGAACCAGAACTTTCTCATGTGATGAAGAGGTAGTCAGCCAACATATTTCATACAGCTGTGGCCATCTTTACTCAAGACAGAAAGAAAACACATCAATTTAAAGTGATCAATAATTTCATATAGGAGTTTATTTTTTCTGATGTTAGCACCAGGATCTCATAAATCCTTACAAATTGCTTTTAATAATGAACACTGGTAAACTGTTTTTCCATGCACCAAACATCATAAAATGTAATGAACAATGAGACTGAAGCAAAAAGCTTCACGTGTCAGGCTGCTACACCAGTGGAGCGCAAATGAAGTCATTTTATAGCAATAAATGGTTCCCTACAATACTACCCTCTTATCTAAGCAACAACAACAAAAAAACCCTACAAACAGCTGTCATTTAATGTGCTTAGTATATTGATATGTCAGCCTTCACAGTGCTACCTTCCAGAAGGGGGGAGTTGACGCTAAACAAACTAACCTGAAAGCAGCTTTTAATCCTAAAACAACAGCCAGGATAGCTAGAATTGCTGTTTATGAGTAACAATTACGCGAATAAGCACGGAAGGAGTACCGCACATTTGAAAACCAGCTCTGAGCCCACAGCCTAGGCAGCATCTTCTCAGACTTCAAACATCAACTTTTACATTTCACTTGACTGCTGCTAGGCAAGCCAAGGAAAACACCTTTTCATGTCTGAGCTTCCATTAGTTTTGAATCTACCTTAATTCTCTCCACCTGCAAGGCAACACACCAACGCAATTTGCCAGCACTATACTGGTTTTCAAGAGCTGCAAACTCTTAGCAAGAAAGACCAGTTCCCTGCATAGCTAACTTCCCATCTACATGCCAAGTTGCTACAAATGGTACTATTTCACCGTTGGATGTGGTAAGCTTTATTCTCCTTTTGATAGCACAGACAGCCTGACAAGAGCCTGTGGGTCCCATCTAAATCAGAAGAGTATAGAGACTGCCACCTCAGCCAGCTTGTACAGAAAGATGACACTTACAGGCAATATTGGCCCCAAACTACCCAGAGATTTTCTGAAGTGTTACAGGTTGGGTGCTGTAGCCTTCATATGACACACCCTGGCACGGTGAACGAAGACAACTGCAGTGCTTGCAGACATATACAGGCTATAAATGTAACAGCTGTGCGCTCTTTTGACTCTTATTTCCATTTAAGTTGGTTTCAGGGTAGGGATGTTGGAGATAGTGTGGCCTACAGGCAGAGCTCAAGCCTGGCACAGGATGATTATACCCAAGGTGTTTCAATTTCTCAAGCTCAGGTTTCCCATCTGCAAAAATGTTTGTGCAGACTCCTAAAAAAAAGCTCAAGCACAAATATATGAGTTTAGCTTGAAGGAGCAGTCTAGCAGCCCCAGCCACTGAAGCTCTCTGGTTTCATACAAGAGAGCAGGCAGGTCAGAATGGCTCTAGAAAGATCACACCAGAGTAAACTAAAGTGACCAAAATACCAGCGGTTAACCTCTCTATTAAGGTATACGTCTGAATAACAGCAAGATTGAAACCAACTGCTGCAGAAGAGGATGGAAACACCTGTTCTGTCCGCTCTCCCACACCAGTCATTATGAATAAGCAATCAAATCATGAGGCCACATATCTCCCGAGCCAGATGCAACTTGAATCTGTGATCTAGGAAGACATACCTTCGTATCTCATTACCAGTTTCCTGACTGCAAATCTTGAATAGAAGAAGAGACTGCTTAAACATTTCTTCCAGGAGGAAAACACAATTAATATAAAGCTTTTGAGGTATAAAAGCAAAAAGCTTTGTGAGCTTACAGAGGGCAGGCTGGATGTAACGCACAGGATTCAGTGCCCTTATTTCCAATGGTGAATGCAGAGCTGACATTGCTCCCGCACAAGAGGACAAACGAGAAGATGAGAGTTTGCAGA